TCCAGGGCTGAGCCGGGAGCCACGGGAGGAGGAGGCGCGGGCGGCGGAGCCGGAGCGGGAGCCGCGGCGGCGGCGGGCAGCGCGGGACCCAGTACTATGGCTGTGTACTGCTATGCACTCAACAGCCTGGTGATCATGAATAGCGCCAACCAGGTGAGGAGCGGCGGCGGCCCCCGGCCCAGCAGCAGCGAGACGCCCCCGCCGCCGGGAAGCGCCGTGTTGAGCCCCGGCAGCGTTTTTAGCCCCGGGAAAGGCGCCTCTTTCCTCTTCCCTCCAACCGAGTCGTTGTCGCCAGAGGAGCCCGCGAGCCCCGGTTGTGGCAGCAGGCTGAACAGTAGCAGCGGCAGCGGCGGCGGCAGCGGCAGCAGCGTGGGCAGCCCGAGTTGGGCGGGTCGCCTGAGAGGGGACGGGCAGCAGATGGTGACCACCGGGACCCTCTCCCCTCCAGGGCCGGAGGAGGCCCAGAGGAAGCTGCGCATCCTGCAGCGCGAGTTGCAGAACGTCCAGGTGAACCAGAAAGTGGGCATGTTCGAGGCGCACATCCAGGCGCAGAGCTCTGCCACTCAAGCGCCCCGCAGCCCGCGTCCCGGCAGGGCGCGTTCGCCCTCCCCGTGTCCCTTCCGCAGCAGCAGTCAGCCCCCAGGAAGGGTCCTGGCTCAGAGCGAGGAACGGAGGACCAAGTCCTGGGGGGAGCAATGCCCGGAGACTTCGGAGGCCGACTCCGGGAGGAGAGCAGAGGCACCCAGGCTACGCCTCTCCAAGGACAAAGAGGGAGTGGCACCTTTCGCTGGCCCAGCCGCTCCGTGGGGATCAGGAACTCAGGGGCCTGTCGCGTCGGGGAGAATGGAGAAGGGGATCTCTGCTAGATCTCACGGTGGCTCACCCGTAGCTATGGAAATGGACAAAAAGGTCTCTCCGCCTTTGGGAACTCGGAGCTGCCAAGCTCCCACGTTGGAGCTGGTCGGAGCGAACTCCGTGATGGCCACAGAAGTGGCAGCGGGAGCCACATCCACTGGGCCACACTCTCCGCATGACCCTGCCCTCATCGAGCGGTCTGAGAGGGCCCGCGAACTTGGGGGTGTGCACTCCCCGGAGGCCCTGGAGGACAGTCAGGGACAGTCTCTGGGCAGTGAGACAAGCCCAGCCCTAGAGAGAGGCGGGCCCCACCGTGGAGAGCCCCCTGGGAAGGTGGGGAAAGGAAATCTGCCTTGTGGCATGCCAGGCTCTGGGTCGCCTGAAGTGGGCGAAAGGCCAGAGGAGAACTCTGTGACAGAGCAAAACTCTGAGCTGGCAGAGTCCCGGAGCGGGTGCAGGCCGTTGGGACACCTGGGCTCAGTAGGCCCAGAGGTGACCCACAGTGGAACCCTGGAGGTCAGGGGGCCTCCACAGCACTGGGACAGAGTGGACGAAGGGTCTCCAATGCTGGGCTTGCGTGGGGGCAGCCTCTCAGCACCGCGAGGGACCCGGGAGGTGGAGGTGGCCCGCATTCCCTCTGGCGGAATGCTGGAGCCTTTGCCCTGTTGGGAAGCAACAAAAGATCCGAAGGAACCTCAGTGCCTTCCTGGGGACAGGGTGGGTATGCAGCCTGGGAGCTCCAGGGCTTGGCTGGACCCCATGGCGGACGTAGCTCAGGCCTGGACGTGTGTCAAAGGGGTACAATCCCAGGAGACTTGGGGAAGCCAGCCAGAGGACAGAGCCACCCAGCCCAGCCCAGAGCTGCTGTCCCCAGGTCAGAAGGACAAGCCTTCTTTGAAAGAGGCCTGCAGCCCCAGCAATATACCTGCCGTCATTGTCACAGACATGGGCACCCAGGAGGATGGCATCTTGGAGGAGGCACAAGGCAGCCCGCTGGGCAGCCTGCCCCTGAGGAAGCTGTCCTCGTCCTCTGCATCCTCCACTGGCTTCTCCTCCTCCTATGACGACTCGGAGGAGGACATCTCCAGTGACCCTGAGCGCTGCCTGGACCCCAACTCCGCCTTCCTGCATACCGTGGACCAGCAGAAGCCCAGAGTGGTAAGTCTTGCCCTGAGATTTTTCTAGAACTTGGGCTGCTTCCACGCCCCGTGTGTCCTCTATTTTTCTACCTTTCTGCTGAGTCGTGAAGACCGACAGGGCCCCTGGGGCAATCGCGACATCCTCTCCGGGTGTTGGGCGCTGACCGTGTACTTTGTAGCTTGGACAATGAACCTGAGTTTCTTCTATTGCTATTTCCAGGTACATCTTTAAAAAAATAATTTTTTAAGGTACTTCTGGCAGGTCACCACTCACTTCTTAGGAAAACGAGTTACCAAAAACTTCCTGATTAATCCCCAAAGAACACAGAGGCTGAGTATAACTTTTGTCTTATCAGGTGAAACACTTAATTCTGTGATTCTTTGGGGCGGAAGAAAACTGACAAGGACCGTCATTGAATTAACTCGGCCTCTGCTAAGAGGCCAGGCAAATAAGTGACATGATTCTATGACGGGGCTCTGAAAGCTCTAGATGTGGTTGTGGCCGGTCTGTTGGGTGAAGAACCACTTAGCCTCAGTAAGTTAAGTCAGAACAGTGCAGTATTTGTGGGACTAAGATGCCCTGTGATGCATGAATTAAACTGAAAACCATGCTTTGCATTTCTTTAATAATAGAATGTTACATTAGGTTGACTTGCCTGAGAAAGGCACCTGGATGATATCTCCAGGGTAGATACCACCTAATGGAGATGCTCATTGGCTGGTACAGGTACCTTTCAGGTACGTTTTCAAGTGCATCTGTTTTGATTCATCGTACTGACATCTTGCTCTGGCTATGGCCATAAACGGGAGTTTATTTCTGTTATGGTTAATCTCAGTCCTCAGCTGTTTTCACTCTTAGGAGGATCAGAGTGTCTTACGGAAGACGTTAAGAGTTGCAGCTAGTACTTCTGAAAAGGTCTGGACTTTCTCTCAGCTTTTCCAGAGTACGGGGAATTTCCTCGTTCAGCGTGCAAGGGGTTCTTGTGCTACCCTCGGGGAAAGTCTGCGTTTTATTGTAGTAGGGAGCCTTCCGATTTCACATTGAATATCAGATACCATTCTTTGTACCTCAGTGACTTAAACCGCAGCGACTGAGAACTTTATATTTCTACTCTACATCCTTCTCTACGGTATTTTGGGCCACGAAGCATGTTTTTTCCTCACTCTCGCTTCAGAAATCACAGTCTGGATTTTTGAAGACTAGGCATTTCTTTTCATGAAGCTCCACTTTCTGCTGACGATCGGGAGGCATATATGTATGCCAAGTCTGGCCATAGTCAGCCTGGCATTTTGCGGCCAGAACAGAGCCTCAGGCACAGGCACACCACCTTGGGAGGAGGGACAGTTTCCCGGGAGGGGGATGGTGGTAAAGAGCAGTTGGAAAACTGAGGCCCGGCTTGCTCTGCCTTCTTGCTTACAAGCAAAGGCCTGGTGAATGAGATGGTCCTCTGTTCACTCCTCCCACGTGCTTTTTAAACCCCGAAGCATCGCTGGCACAGCCAAGGTGCTTTAACTTGTTCTCCAACTTTCCATTCGCCCTTTCTAGTGATGGATTAGCAGCTCCTATTGGCTGGTTCTCAAAACAGTTTGTGTGTCCTGCTGTTTGAAAAGGGCTCTTGTCTGGAAGTGAGTTAAACAGGAGATAAATAATGACAGGCGATTTATTTTTTATTTTTTATTTTTTTTTTGCCAGCGGGATGCTGACTGAGAAACCAGAGGTTTGAATGGTGTTTTCAAGTTGGCTAACAGGTCCATAGGTAGCAATGAGACTTGCCTGTTGTCCAGCCTCCCTCCCACCTTTAAACAGGTTTCCAGACACCCACAGAGTAGGACCAGGGAGGAATTTGCTCTCTGAATCATGCGAGGCCGATGGCCAGTGTGTGTGTGGGGAGAAGGGTGAGTAACTAGCTGGAAGTTATGGGATCCTAGGGATGTTTGAGGTTTTGGTTGAGTGCTTGCATGATAAGCTAAGTTTTCTTTTTCTTACAGATTGTTATAGTGAAGTCTTATCTGTGACACTAACATCTGCTCATTGGGTCAAAATCTCTTGATGACCTAATATTGATAATTTGTTTGCAGAAGGCCAGCCATCTTGATTGGCTGGGTCTTTTGGCCGGTCTTTTCAGTGTTTTACAGATAAAACCTGAGCCAGCTCTGTCTGAGGTGCTGCAATATCATCACGCTGTTCTCTTCCATGCTGTTTGCTGCTGCTTTTTATACTGCCGAACTGCCCTCCCAGAGCACACACCCTCACACACGCTCACATTCGCTCACACGCGCACACACATACTCAAACTCACACATGCTCATACACCCCTACCTATGCTCACATTCATTCACACACACACGCCCTCACACTCGCCTTCACCCTCACACATGCTCACATCCACTCATACACACAGGCTTGAAACTGCATATTCAGCCTTGGAGTCACACAACCAAACTCTGGCCCTCAGGATTTGTTTCTGTTTGTTTTGTTTGTTTGTTTGTTCGATGCTGCTTTGTCTTTCCACAGAGTTAAAACTTTTATGCCTTGTGCGGCACATTCTTTTCTCCTGCGGGGGAATGGCTGTGTGCAGGCAGAGGTGACAGCCCAGAGAATCTTGAAGCCTGGCTGCTTTGTTCCCTCTCCCGCTGTCTGGTCTCACTGTCGAAGTCCCTGAGGCAGTATTTCGAATTCAGAGGACCTCCCTATAGTTAAAAACACAGTAAGAAGCATGTTGTTTGGAAATGTACTCTGAAAATCACTTCGCCATTTACATTATGCAAATTAGCAAAGGCCTTTTTACTGGGCGGTAATGCCATGAGAAGGCCAGCTCTCCTCATTTGCTTCCATGGGAAGGAGCTCTAAAGACATCCTCGGAAACATGCAAAGGGCTTCAGGCCTTTACTCTGTCTTCTCATGAGCCTGACAGATAGATATGCCTGTCCCCGAAATATAATGTCCCACGTTTTTGCACCTGCACCTCTTTTCATGAAGAATTGGACACTTGAAATTTGCTCAGAAGTCATTGCATTACATGCCTTGTGTTCGATGGCTTGAACTCAGGCACAGTTATTCTTCACTGAGACCTGAACGGAAGCAAATTGCACTGAACAAGGATGGAATTCTCTCCTTTGTTCTTTAAAATAGCTCAAAATTAATCAGCAGCTCTTTACTTTCCCATGTTATTCCTTTTAAGAGTACCTGGGCCATCGAAACACTAGGTTTAAAGTAATATATTAAAATACGTATGCATATTACTTTAAAAAGCAGATTTTAAAAGTTTATTCTAAAATTGTCCTATCAATTATGTGTTCAAAAAACAAAACGCTGGCTTAGTTCCCTGTGGAGGATATATAAAGAAGTGTAATATAAAATCTTTGGCTTCTCGGTGCTTACTAATTTTTAAAGGCCATTGGAATTTTGTTTCCTTTGACCTTTATTTATTTTTTGTTTTTTTGGTATTTGACTCGTTTTGATATCTTTTTTTAGTGAAACACTGACTCTTACATGAACTAAAAAATTCATACAGTTTAAAATGGTCTTATGTGGTTTTCAAAAGTTCAAAATTTTCACTTGGGGGTAAACCAAACTAAAATTTGAAAGTCTTAGAAGGATACTTAAAAAAAGTGAATGCGGTGGTGAGTACTTATAAATAGAAAATTTTTTTCTGGGTAAGAATACTGAAGGCCCCGATTTGGAGGAGGGACCTGAGTTCGGCGGGCATGCGCAGCTTTCTTGGGGGCCCCCTTCTCTGTCAGGTGTGTGGAGAAGGCCTTTCTGCCAAGACCTCAGCACCTTTCAGATCTGGGAGGACCCCGAGTCATTTATGCGAGGTCCCGGGTGTTGCTGTGACTTGTTTAGGGATGAGGAAACCAAGACTCAGAGAGGCAAAGGGACCTGAGGACACACTGCAGGTCCCAGCGTCTGGCTCAGTTTTCTTCTTTTAAAATTTCCTTCTTTGAAAACCCTCGCATGAAGATGATCTCATGGGCGGCGGGGCGGGGGGTGCTGTCTATCTGATTTTAACCCTCTGTGACTCTATCATTAAAGACACTTAATTGAAAACTTAGTGTACATCACACTTCAGGATGTCCAGAGGTGTGACAAGGTTCCTTTGGGATGGACCTTGGGCACTGAGGCTGAACTGCACATCTAATTTTGTGCTTTTACTTAAGACTCATTAATTGATCTGCTGCTTTCTCTTTACCAGAAGATACCGGAAGATCGTTTCTTTGTAATTTCACATTGAACAAGTATCCAGATAAATGAGCAGAGTGATACCCCCAGATTCTCATGGATAATTAGATTGGTACTCGTGGCTATGCCAATAGCAGACCAAAATATTAACCTGCAAAGTAAAAGAGGCTATTTTCTAGGGCTTTGGCCTCCTCAGATTTTTCAGTTTGGAAACTAGAGGCTTTGCCTACACAGAGTCAAAACATCACTTCAAAAGCGTTTTATCAAAGATAAAAGAATTCAGCCAGCTTAAAAATCCTTTCAAATAAAGGTGGGGTGTAGAGAAAAAGAGAGATTGATGTTTAGGCACTGCAAAAACACAGCTCAAGATTTACCTAGCCTGTAGGTTTTACAAGGAAAACATATTAAACCAGTCTCCTTGCTTTGAAAGAAATCTGTTTCAGGTGTTAGCTAAATCCTTTGCAGAACTCTTGTTTTTAAGCGCTGAATCGCTACCTTGACTGATTTCGTTGGCACATACTGTTACATGCAGTTACAGATTAGATGAGTTCTGTGTAGTTTATTTATATTCCTAGGAGCATTGATAACATTGTTTAGGCTTATTTTATTTTGTCAGGTTTCAACTTATTGATCCAAAGTTTGAATTTTAAAGTATTTAATTGAAAGATTTTTATATCTTGGTAGAAAAAAACGTTGTAGACTTCAGGTCATCGGCAGGCGATTTGGAATTAACTCAAGAACTCTTCCAAATCCTGTGTGGTCAGACCTTCAGTGTGGAAGGTTCTATGGGTTTAATAGGAGATGAGACCTTGGCGTTGCAGTGTATTCTGGTTGTC